TCTTTTGGCTCTGCCTTTGAATAATTTTGCCAATCAAATTCTGACACTTTCCTTTTATTCCAGCCTTTGCCTTCAGAATGTGAATCCCAGCTCAGTTTCAGCTTTGGAATACAGTTTATTCCTGGATTTGCAGGGCAAATTCTGCTTTGCCAGTTTTGTTTTAATAACTTTGCTGCACGGTAGCTGCAGTGGCCGCGGGTGGGCATCGTGTCCTGGTGCCTCCTGCTGCTGCCTCTCACCTGTTCAGTTGTACCTTCACATATCCCCGTGTTCCAGCATTCTTTGGGATTGCTCTCTTTTGGGTTAGATGTGCTTTATAGGAAATTAGGTACTGTACTTATTTGGCTGCTGAGAAGAAAGGCTTAAAAAATCACATTTTATAATTTTCCAAACATTTGCTTTGCTTTTAAAGGTCACCTCAAGGTGTAGGGGTTACAGAACGTTTTCTTGAGCTGTTTACTCTGAGTTAAAGGTCCTTCCTTCTCCTTCTTTCTTATCTGGAACAGCCCTACCTTTAAGGTCCGTCTGGAGTCCAGTGCCAGCCTCCCTTATCACTCTGGCCTTTGGGACTTGCCCGTTCTTTGTGCTCGATAATGCAATGTCTACACTAATTTTTCCAAACTTAGCTTGTGCTGTCTATCTAAGTTTGTCTTCCCAAGTAAGCTATCAGCTTTGTACTTTCACTCGCTCATTTATTCAAAGCATAGTCTTTGGAGAAAGAATGCTTTGAGTCTTGGCTCCATTAGTGTTTAGCTGTGTGACCTTGCAAAAGCCTCTTGCCATAACAATGCTTTACACTTGTTCTCTGTTCCATGTGATAACTGTCTCTTATCTTTTAAGGTGGTTGGGGAAGGTTACGTAAATAATATACATCATGTGTTCAGTAGTCCCTGGCAAATAGCATTCAATAAATGTTGCTTTTTGTGCTTCCTTGATTGAACTACTATGTAGGTAAAAGAACTGATAAACAGATGATGTTCAACAGAAATAGTTTCTGCCTAGATATTCTAGCAGTTAACAACCTATTAGTTAATATTTACTTAAATTCTACTATTTAAAGCAGTGTAGGGTCCTATGAGAATGTCTGTGTTTTCCAAGGAAGGTTCGGGCAAGTGATAATTTTTATCTGAAAAACGATTAGGTATGAATCAGCTGAGTGTCAGAGGAGTACTTCAAGCAAAGGGAACAGCATGCACCCCCACACTCTGAGGTAGACAGGGACATGGAGCATCGGAGGACCTGAAAGATGGTCAGTGTGGTTGGAGCACGATGGCTGATGAAGAGAGAGCTTCAGGGAGTCAGGCATTTCAACAGTGAGGATGTACTATGAGGACTTAGTTGAAAGGGCTTTGGAGACAGGAAAAACCAAAGATGGTGTGCTGATGAACACAGTAGCTATGAAAAGCTGTTACCTCTGCAGACAAGAAGAATCTTAAGCTTTGTCTTCATTGTCTCTCTCTCTCTTCCATATCAAGTCTCTCACAAAATCCTAACTTTACAGCCCAGAAGAGCAAGAACTCTGAACCCCTGTGGGGCACGGGGTAAATGGGATGAGGAGGATGATGTTGTTCTGCAGAATCTGGTACCTAAGGAGCTCAGAAGAGCCAGAAAGATTTCCCAGCCAGGTGAAGGGCCCTTGGGTGAGGATGAACAGGGGAAAGGAGGAAGGAGTTTGCCATTGAGTCTCCCTCTAGTGGCTGCATTTGGTGGAAACTGAGGGAGGCTACAAGCGTAGGAAAAAAAATGCGATTTGCTGTCTCAACCCCAGGGTCAGATAACAGCGTGTAGAGGGTGTGTTAAAGATTTTGTTTTTATTGTGAACTTATAGAAAAGTTGAGGGGTAAGAAGAAAAGGACAGAGAAAAAAGTGGTCATTCATAAGTAGAGATGAAGATTGACATGCCTTTCTTTGGACAGCACCTCTAATTTCTTCCTTTCAACACAGAGCAAAATACTTTGAAAGGCTTTGTAGAAAAATAATATTCCATCAATTCTTTTGGGTGAAATGGAGATGGAATTCCTTGTCTAATGAGAAGCGGAAAACCTCTAGTTTCTGAGTATTTATTAGAAATATTTGGAAAGTATTTATTCTCACATATTTGTTTAAATACATAATATCTATTTACATATATATTTAAACTATTGAATAAAATCCAAAACTTTTTAAGGTCTCACTGGGTTAAAGCTGTTGGAAACTCGAATATGTCTTTCAAACGGAGACTGAAAGTGGTCCTACATTTGTTTCAGCTCTTGAAAGATCTTGCCATTCACTAATCTGCCTAAAACTGTAAGGGAAAGGAGCTTTCCTGTCTCCCATTCCCTCAATGGTCCCAAGAAGCCACCCTGCAAGGTGCTGTTTCTCCCAGCCTCTCTCCTAGGTTTTTGCTGGCTGGCGAAGCTGAGCAGGAACCACCCAGGTCCTTCTGGGCCTTGTGTCTTCTCCCTCCCTCCATGGTATGAAAGATTTTGTTACACAAACCGCAGATAGTAAGTTACAAATCATTTCTCAATATTTATACATAACAGTATTCTTAAAACTTAACCACTGTTTCGACACCAAGTGTTCTGAATTTCTACAACAAGCAAATTGATGTCTTAGTCATCGCAAAGACTAAAATGTGATTTTTATGATATTTTGAAACAGTGAAAATAGTATTTTTCAGGTCCTCAGGAGACACAGGCTTGGGTATAATTAATTTTTGTCATGCATTATATTGAAAGATGTGTTTGTACAAAAGGTCTAGTTAGTGGAGAAATATGAATTTTGCTCAGTTCCTCTTGTTCAATGACATACTTAAGAATGTTACTTCCTTTATTTTAATTGCCAAATTTCTCCAGAAAATTAATGAAATAAATACTGTAATGTGAAGTAAGCTATTACTACAAAATTATCGCCTAAAATAAGCATTGAAATATTATTTACCATTCAAATAGGCTCATCTGCCTTAGCTATTCATCTCCTGGAAATAATTCCCAGTTATTATCTGTAATAATCACTATTTCACTTCACCTGTTTTCTTGGTTTTGATTTCCAGCATTATGAAGCAATAATACCCAAAGGGAAAGATTGTTCCCGAGGCTCACTGTTCTGTGGGCAGCTGCCTGGTAATTCCTCAGGAATGGCACATGCTCCCATTCTGCTGCTTAATCAACACAAACCAGAATTGTTGGCAGTCACAGGCAAATGTCTGATAATGCAGTGTTCCACTGGAAAACAAAATGTGCTTTTGTCAGAACTGCAAAGAACGATGGAAATAACTTTACAAAAGACAAATACATTTACTTCTCAAAAGTAGTAGGCTTTTTTTTACAGATTCCTTGTAATTTCCCATGTACCATTTTCTAAAGATCAGCTATGCTTTATCTATATGTTTATTTCTTTGCTGGTAACAATATTTATATGAAACAAAAAGCAAAAAGTTCCCAGTGAAAATAGTATAAATCATGTATTGTGTGTGCTTTATTTGTCATTAGTAATAGCATCAACAAGAGCTGTGAAGTCCCTTATTTGTGTTGCTGAATCGCATAGCTTTTAAGGCAAGTGTCAATATTAAGATAAAATTAGGAGATATCCATAAAAACCCAGGTAGACTTTTGTACTCTTGTTGAGGATCCTTAGCTACTGTTAGTCAAACTTTATCTCTCCTCTGTTTCTAGTCAGTAAAAAAAACTGTCTTTAACTTGTCCAAAGGCCCTTCTGGGGCTTTTTCACACTATTGAGACTTTTAATAACTTCACTAGATAGTGCTTTATTCCTGTCAAAAGGTTTCTGTTACAACTTTCTTATTGGAGCCAGTCTTCTGACCGCCTTTGACTTCCTCTATTAGCATGACTCAGTTCTCTAGGTACTTGAGTTTTGTTTACTGTATTTTCTCCTAAATGGGTGAACATTGTCCTTTGATTCACAAAGTTGCTGTCCATGGGAAAGAATCACATAAGTGACCTCTCTAGAAGTAACACATCAACTTAGCAATCACACTACTTTCTACCTCAAGGAAGCAAAATTTACATTTTATTTGCCTCGTCTTACAATCATTTTGAGTTTCTTTTCTTCTTTCATGGTAAATTGCTCACTGAAGTGCCTATAAAAAGAAAGGTACATCAAATCAATTCCATAGCAGCTCTCCCATGCAAGATTAAACATGCTTTCTTTTCAGTCTTAATTGAAGCATATATTCCCTACAGTTTGAGGGGCTGGGTCTAAGTAAAAGGAAAAAATAATATCACTGCTGTGCCAACAGAAATTCAGATTTACATTCTGAACTTGCTGTTGTAACTTTTTTGGGAGACGTTGATCTTAATTCTTTTATTTCCTTGTCAAGTTGCTTGTTTTTATATTACTCTATGTTATGTTAAAATGTATATCATGGATTTAGTATCAATATTTAATTTTTATTTACATTTTGCTAACTTAAAAGTCATATTTTTAATCAAGCAAACTATGTAGTAGGATTTTCATGTAGTTCCACTGAAGCAATGAATTATCTTCTATGCTCTTTAACTAATTTTGAAGAAATGTGGAGAATAAAATTAAAGATGGGTGTAAAGAGGAGATATTGAATGTGATGTTGCCATTCATTGCCTCCAACATTTAGTCTCTCTTTCTTAGTAATGAATTTCCCAAATTTTAGATGAGCTTAGATGTTTGCTAAGAATAAAGCTTATGTTTAAGATCTGTACAGTGAAATGTAAGTGACAGTGACTTCACGCAAGCATATATTTAAAAGAATGGGCCATGACCTTCTTCCTTTTTCTAACAATGGTTAGTGCCATTGGGGGACACAAGATGAATTTTTAAATGGAATCCTGCCCTTTGCACTATAGAACTGCAAACCAGCCCAGGATATTCTACCATGAAGAAGAAATAAACTAATTTGATTAATAATCTCAACTGATTCATAATTATGAATTTAGAGGTTGATGCTAGTGTTTTGCTCTTAAAGTGACAGTATGCCTAATTCTGTAATTTGATTTTTTTCTCTTAAATATCTCAATTCCTAGACTGAAATACCAATTGAAGTTGAAGTAAAAGCCATCATATAGTATTGGGTAAGTGTTTAATGCTGTTATTTAAGTTTCTTCATCCACACTGAAAGCAAGAGAAACAAATGTGAATTTGATCATAACTACAGTACTTCCCAGTTCTAAACAGAAGCGGGTGTCCTTTCAAATTGTGTCTATCTCCAGCCATACCCTATTTCAGATCGGAGAAGTTCTGGAAGTAAGGTAGCTCTTCTTAAGAAGATGACACTGGTTTCACTTGAGTCACTAAAAATTAAATTTAAATTCATCGTACCCACAGTGGTACTCGGGCGTTGTCACTCATTTTTGCAAATTCTTTCCTAAAGAGCAATGAGTTTTTAAACCAAACAATAAAGGCTGTGGATGCCCCAAAGTTGCTTGAGCCAATTGCTTCAGACTCTCTGTGCCTATTCTGGGCATACTTTGGCTCGAAGTGTTGAATTTATAGCTGTAAGTTTAGTTGTAGTACTGCCACTGGTCCTTTGAATTGGATATTGATAATTAGTTTTTATGATGTCTTACTATTGATTTACCCTAAACAATTATTGGTTTGTGATTACTTTCTACCACTCATGTTCTAAATGGGCTTACACAAACTTTTCTTTCACTATCCCATTCTTGTAATTTGAATGTTCAAGACTCATGTTGAAGTTTACTTTCCATTATGAGATATTGAGAGAACAGAAAGTTTGTCCAACTCTGGAATCTGCAGGAAGGAAAATGAGACAGTAGAAACAAGAACCTCCCCAGAGGCAGCACACAATCTTGAACTTTCAGCCTTAAGAATTGTGAGCTAGGAATATGCCTTTTCCTTATAAATTACCAGTTTGTAGTATTCAATTATCATAACAGAAAACAGGCTAATATCTCTGGTTGCTACTGAGACAGGGATAACTATCCTGAGAAGGGGGGCAGGAATTTCAGTTATGGAGAGTGCTAGCTATTTTGTCACAGTCTGAGTTTTTCCAAATATCCCTCAACCCCTTTAGTGATATGACTTCTTCCACTGTAACCCCCTTTCCACTAGGTTCCACCAGCTCCCCTTAAGGTCACAGGGCTTGGCTGTCAGTGCAGCAGGTGGTGGGGGCAGTGAAATATTTTTGGTGGAGAAGTGAGTTGATTTAATCTGTCTAAAAGTATGGCTGTCATCTGAAGGCTGGAATGAGGAGGAGGTATTTAAGAAAGTAATAATGATTAGGTGGTAACTATAAAAGTCTGAATGAGAGATGACAAAAGTCTAAATTAAGGCACTCAGCAGTTATGATAGGAAGGAGAAGAGACACTTAGAGATTATAGTTGAGAGGACATAGACATTAAGAGTATATCGTGAAGGGACAAGCAAAGAACCCAGAAGGACTCCTAGTTTTTGGGAAACTATGGTAAAATTGTCCACTCCCTGAAGTAGCAAAAGAGAGACACTGCAGTACAAAACAGAAGAAAGAAGTAAATTAGACCTAGGACGTTCTCCATTTGAAAGCCTCTGAGTCACTCAGATGCATATACTTGATTAACAATTGAAAATACAAATCAACAAGTCTGAAGAGCAATATAGATAGTGAAAATGGAAATGGAAATCACCAGATGACAGGCGGAAGGTGAAGCCAGGGAACTGAACAAAATCACCGAGGAAGACCACATAGGTCGAAAAGAATTCTTGCTGGAAGATGGAATCACAAAAACACCAGGTCATAAGATAGTAAGAAAGAATTCTGAAAGAAGAAAAATGAAGACTGGTAAGACAGGATGGGATGAGAAAATGAAGAAATGCGGTAGCACTGTTGCTATCCTCTGGACTGGGGTGTTTCCCAAAGGCTCAGTTTTGAAGCTCAGTCCTCAGTCTGTGACATAAGGGGAGCTGGTGGAAACCAGTGGGAAGTGGGACACAGTGGAAGAAGTCGTATCATTGAAGGGGTGCCTTGAGGGTTACTGGGACTCTGGCCCCTACTTTCTCTCTTGGCTACCTGGCTTCTGCAGTTATTATCAGCCACTCCTTCCCTGATGTGATATTCTGTTTTATTGTAGACCTAAAAAGACAGAATCAACTACACAGACTGAAACCTATGAAACCATGAGCCCAAATAAATCTCTTCTCCTGTTAAATTGTTTATTCATGTATTTGATCACAGTGACAAAAATCTGACTGTGTTAGAATGTACTTTCATTTTGAGAAAATAGTTTAAAACAGCTGTGGCAGACACAGACTGTGTGTCCCCCACCCCCTTCCTGGACACTTTACACTTTCCATTCCCCCTCTGGTACCAGGTACAAGGACTTAACCAATAGAAAGGAGAGGGATGTGGGATTCATGTTGCCTCCTTCCAAGCTAGGCCTCTGAAACACTGCAGGCAACCTTCGTGCATGTTCCACTAATGCACCTGGACGAGGAGCTATACAGACAGTTTCCTGCTCAGAAATATGTGCATTAGATGCTGCTTAAGTGCAAAATGATACCTTACAGAACAGCCTACTGAACTATTGAGAGTATATGTTACAACAGTAAACACACTTTGATCAATATAACATTTTAAAAATAATTTAAGTGACGATATGTCATTTTCAGTTGCACTTTTAGTAGTGCTGACATACTTTGGAAGTATAGCCATCTTAACAATATACAGTGCATATTTCAAGAGACTTTGTTGTCTTTTGAAGCAAGGTTGTAAGTTTCAGGGTCATTGGAATGGCATCAAAATCTTAAATTTATGTTTAGAACACACTAATAATAGACAGTGGAACAAAAGGTCAGCCTATGCATACACTAAGTGCTCTTGTCTTGATTATGTTACTGCCTATCAAAGAGAAAAGTGTGCCTTTCTCAACCACCCTTCTTGCTGACATCCAAATCTTGCATAGTAGTGTCTAACAACAAAATTTCTAGCATAAAAAGAGTTCTTGACATTTGTATGTGGCTGCTTTGAATAGAATGTCTAAGCAATGACTTATTATCAAAGCTTGTGGGTTAGTATAACGTAATATGTACCAGAGAATAGAAATTAACAAATAATGGGCATAGAGATCTCTTAGTCTTCTAGGCTAATAAAAAAGGCATCTAAGGTAATTTGAAGACATCTAAGAAATTTAAGCTTCTGAGGTAGGAAGGGTTATAGTCAATCATCCAGTGACCAAAGTTGATATCCTCAGTGATGTCATGCTGATAGCATATATCCTGAGTATAATGGACTCTTATCAAGCAATGACACCTCACCTCTATGGTTTTAATTCCAAACCCATAACCTCAGTCAAATCATGAGAAAAAAAAATAAACAGAACTAAAATGAGAAATATTTTATAAAAGACTTGACCTTCCTTGCTAACATGTGTTTTGCTAAAATTCACATAGAAACAATGCAGTCATATTAAGATGGTACTTTTACAAAGTGAATTAGGACACTGGTGTTCTTCAAACACTGTGGGTGAGAGTAGCACCCTTAATAAGGTTTAAGGGAGTGACTTCAGCCTCTTGCTCTTTGCCACGTGAGGATGCAGCAACAAGGTGTCAATTTTGAAGTAAACTAAAAGCTTTCACCAGACACCAAACTGCTAGTATCTTGGCACTGTGCTTCTCAATATCCAGAACTAAGAAATAAATTGGTTGCTTATTATATGTTTTCCAGATTAAGTGTTTTGATAAAGGATCCTGAATGAACTGAAGCATTGTTCAAAACTTTCGACTTCACCAAAACCAACAGAATCTGAAAAATTGTCATATTCTAGTAGAGCCTAAGAAGTATTTCAAATAAATGCAATGTACCCTGCATGAGATCTCGGAACAGGGAGAAACCAATGTCATCGCAGTAAAATATGGAGCTCACCTTATTTGAATGTGTTGAATTGGTCCAATAACTGTAAAGAATACATCAAAACAATTTAAAATGTCAATAGAGGAAACTGAGTGTGAGATATCAGAAAACTCTACACTATTTTTGCCATCAATCTGTTAATCTAAAACAAAAAATTTGTTTAATTAAAACAATTTAGAAAAAACTCAAATAATTTACTTTTTTTTTTTTTTTTTTTTTTGTCTTTTTCTTTTTTATCGGTACCAGGGAATGAACTCGCGACTGCTTGCTTGCAAGGCAGGCGCTTATGCCGCTGAGCTAAATCCCTAGCCCCCATTTACTGTTTTTGAATAAGAGATCCAAGCATATAGTTCATAGCAAAACTGAGTGACAATCATCTTTCCTTTCTTTTTTAATTCTTCAGTTCTCTAAAATATACAGATGAGTTCTTTTTTCGTGAATCAATATTGTTCCCTCACTTTTATCTGTCTCCCAATTGTTTTTTTTCTTAAATTCCTTCCCTAGTTGCCATCTTTCTTGATACAAAATGTTTTCCACCTGACATAGTTCAGTAGAAATTTAGTGTGTCCTATGTTCCTGTTTATATTGGAAAAATGAGCTCCCCAGGCTCTTATCCTCTACCCACCTTCTCATTTTTGCTCAGATTCTAGTAGATTTGGAGTGAGTGATAGACATGTTATACATTTTTAGCTAATTAGATACACAGATGATATTTATGAATTTGCAAATTTAAAACAGTTTAATTTTTTTTTTAGAAAAGCTACTGCTAAAATAGTGAAGAAGAAAGTAAAAGTAGAACTTAACTAACATGTACTTTATATTTATTGCCAGATGTCATATGCTTAAGAATCACTAAATATAAATTTCAAAATAAATTTGTTGAAAGGCTGAAAATGTGTTTTCTTGTTTTACTTTAAGACCAGATAGCTTGTGTGACTAGCTCAACATTATATAATTAATGTCCAAAAGATCCATGATTTTTTTATTCCTGTTATTTGTTTTCATATTCTTCAAATACCAAGTTTAAAGTTTTGTCATGATGCAGCACTTTGATGTGGTAATTTCCCTTTCAAACAGGAAACATGGAAAGAAATAACACAACCAATGAATACACTAAAAAAATCAGCCCGACCAAATATTATGTTATATTCCCTTTGATTTAAAAGCATATCTAGAGATTTATGTCCAGTAAAATTACTTGAATCTGAAGCAGAGAAATCTGCTTGATCATCCAGCAGCTACTTCCTTATATAAATTTTGATGTCTGGAGCTGTGGAGATTTTTAGTTTCATCTTCCAAGTACACTTTTTTATGAAGCACATTACAGCTATTGTTTTCATTAAATGCTTTGAGATCTTTTGAAAGCTAATGCCTTTTTAATTTTTCATGTCTTTGTCACTTCCTGCATGTAATCTTTACCTATTTGTTTAGTCACCAATTCATTCATCTATAACGTTTCCAATGCTGATCAAGAATATGTAACTATGAATATGAATAAGCACTATCTGAAGTCAAGGTGCATAGTGTTGTCTACTGATTTGAATATTGGTAAAAGTGTGTGACAGCATTTCACAGAAAAATCTTTCATGGCTACAGAATAGCTAATTTGCTACATTCATTAAATATGTAAAATATTTCATACCTAATAGTTAAGATTTGAATGTTGTCTGTAAGTAAAATCAGAGAATCATTCAAAACAAGAAATTCAAGAAAAGAAATTTAAGTCACACTTTTTTTCTGTTTTAATTGTAACTGTGCATATATATATACACATGTACATGTATATATATGCATATGTTGTGCATCTTAGTCCATTTTCTGTTGCTATAATAAAATGTCTGAGAGTGGGTGCTTCTTAAAGAAAAGAAGATTATTTAGCTTGAGATTTTAGAGCCTGAAAGTAAAATGTTTGGTAACTTGTGGCAGTTGGCATTGGTTGACAGGAGCATGTGCAGAGGAAACCACTGGTTAAAAAGGAAGCCAAAGGGATTCAAAGCCAGATTGTTCTTTCTATAACAACTTTCTACAATGAGAACTAACCAGAGATGCACAAGAGCTACATCAGTTCTTCTGAGGGTGGCATCCCCACAGCCTAATCATCTTCCAGTAGTGCACCACCTAGGGTCTACAGTCTCCCACACCACCACTATGACAACCATGCTTTCAGCACAAGAACTTGTGAGGGATACACTCAAATCATCTCCAAACCATAGCATATGTGTACAGCATTCCAGTCATCAATCAACAAAATTCAGTATTATGATGTCAGAGCATTGTTTTATCAACAAGATCATTCCTCAGTGTTTATGGGGTATTGGTTCTATACTCCTCTTACACTAAATATCCATATGTTCCCACCTTTTATATAGCATGTTTAGAATGGCTATGGCTGAGTGTTTGTGTATAATCTACACATATTCCCTCCCCCTCTCGTTTTGAGATAGAGTCTCAACATGCAGTTTGGGATGACCTGGAACTCATTACATAGCTGAGGCTGGCCTCGAACTAAATCAAGCCTGGACACTGCAGTCTATAACAACAGCAGAAAATCAGGACTCATTTTATTACTCAGTTACATAGAATATGAGATTCAGTATATAGCCTGAGCTGTAGAAGAGGTAACTAATGAAAGAAGTCATTTTGATAACTTTACTTGTATAGTACAAAGTATAACTATAGATACTCTCTTAACACTCATTTATTAACTTCTCTGCAAAATGTCATTGTAGAAAATACAAATAATGAGTCTTTCTGTTTCATGAAAGAAGAAACACCTCAAAGTTTTATTACAGAATTTCCACCGCTAATCAGCTTATTCCAGTACCACACTCTTGTTCATGGCTGATCTGACAATTAAAATTTCTTACATGGTTTTTGGTGCTAGACATGTTCTCAGTCAAAGCATAATGAAAGCAAGTTCATTTATTATCAGTCACTGTTCAAAGCAAGAGACGAAAAAATGGGTTATAATTATTCAAAGAAGATGAGTGCCTGAGTTAAGGTTTTGTTAGCAACATTCTAGGAGATGCTTATCATAAAATAAAAATGTCAGTAACAAGAGAAGGTAATATTATGCCATTTACTTTGCACACATCTCATTTAAGCTCAGAAAGCCATATGAAGCAAGGATAGTCGTCCTTATTTCATGGAGGTCGATTTTGAGGGTCTGAGACATAACTTGCTTAAGTTCAGACTCTTAACTTGGGAAGCTGAAGTGAAAAACTAAAGAATGCTGCCCTGGAATCAGTTTTTAAGGAATGTTTCTTTTAAAAAGCATTGTTTAAACTTTAAAAAAAGAAGAAGTATTGCTTGGCATGGGATGTATATTAGTCATACTTCTAACATAAACCTACAAATTAAAGCGTTTAATTGCACTATGTTCTGAGTTCTGTTTTGAACCCTTCCACTGATCATGATATAAATAACTTACATGTGCAGAGACATATGTCTTATTTTACCAGTTCCAGACTTCCATCTTTATGTTTTGTTCTCAAGCTGTGGCTCACATTTTGTGCTAAACTATCCTTTTACCTGACTTAGTTCCTGATCTTCTTCGGGACATTCTTTATCTCTTCTGTTCCTTGCTAACTCTTTGTATTTAAAAATCTATCTCCTGTGTTGATTAGTTACCTCATCTACTGATCATGCCCAGTATTTTAAGCTTTCAAAGCTCTCTATTCAACATTCACCCTGTATTACTTGCACATCACTGGTGTAACAAATTATCACAAGCTTAGCAGCTTTTTACAGCTTTGGAAGTTGTAAATCCAAAACGGATCTCATTGGGCTAAAATCAAGTTGTTGATAGGACCAAATTCTTTGTTAGGTTCTATTGGAGAATATAGTTCCGTGCTTTTTCTAGCTTACAAAGGCCCCCTGAATTCCTTGGCTTACCCATCCTTTATCTTCAAAGCCAGCAGCACAATATCTTGAAATGTTTTTGTTACTCCAGCTTTCTATTGTTCCACTTTGATTTATAAGAACCTATATGATTATACCGAGACTACATGTATAATCCAAGATTATTTGCTTTATCAAAATCAGTAGATATAATTCTTCACACTTCAATTCCTCTTTGCCATATAACGTAACATAGTCACAGATCTCAGTGATTGGCACAGAGGTGTCTGGAGATTGAGTAAGGCCTTATCTTGCCTCCCATACCCCTCTCTCATCAAAAGGATCTGGTTCTCTTTGGAAAAAAATTACAAGGCTATCTGATACCATCTCTGAGTATTCATTAGCAATAAGTTAATTTGTTTCTGTAGCCATTTTCAGAGAAGCTTTTCTTCTAGTACAATATAATTTCTCCATTTTTGATTCACCTATCCTGCCTGTTTCTCTAAAATACTTATTCATCAAATTTTCTATTGCTCTGCTGTTTATATCTCCCCTTTTTATTGACTCTTCTCCTATAGCATTTAAATGTCTCACTTCTTTTCCACACGAAAAGAAATCTTCCTTGATCCTTTGGCCTCTTCCTGTCAGCAGTCTGCTATTTCCTTCTTGAAAGACAGTTAAAACTCAGACTTCATTGATTGTAGATGGTCTGTTTTATGTCTATTCTTAAAACAGGTCAGTGCTATTTTTATTTCGGTAGTATTAAAGTAAGTCTTGAAGTCAGAAAGTGTACATCTTCCAACTTTTTCTTCTGTGCAAAAGTGTTTTGCTACTTTTAAGGTCTTTTGCGTGAAATATAAATTTAAAAATTAACTTCAGTTTCTACAAAAGAAAAGTCTGCTGAAGTTTTGATTATGATTACACTGAATCAATACATTAATTTGGAAGGATTTAGCTGTTACCAATATTTAGTGTTCCAATTCATAAGCATAGTATCTCTCATTTATTTACTTCTTAAATTTCTCTCCACAATACTTTACAGTGGTAAGTATATAGACCTTGCATATACTTTGCTAAATTAATGCCTAGATACTTTGATTTTAGAAAATTTTTAAATGATACTATGTTTTAATCTTAGTTTCCAATAGTTTGATGCTTATATATAAATACATGTTTGTTGACTTTAGGGTCAGTCACCATACTATGACCAGTTACTATTTCTATTATGCAATTTGTATATTTTTTAGTATTCTCTATATAGATGATCTGGTTCTTTACCAATAAGACAATTCTATTTTGTCCTTTCCAAGTGAATACATTTTCTTTTCCCTTTTTGTTTTCATTATTACAATAGCTAAAAATTTTAGTACAATATGCAGTATAAATGGTAAGAATGAACATGTTTGTCTTCTCCTTAAATTTAGGAGCAAAGGAAGGCAGTCTTGCAACAATTATTGTAATGTTAAATTTTCAAAGACTAATGTAAGTTCTATACTACAATTTTACTTCCAGATGTCTCCCTGACTTTAAACAATTATGCATGAATATGAAAATTTGTCATTGCTTTTCTTGCATCTATTGTAATGGATCATATGGCTTTTACTTTTTTGCTTATTAATGTTGTAGATTACGTGGATCTGTGCATACAAAGAAGAAAACTTTAGCTCACAGTTTTGTATTTTCACAGGCATGGTGTTTGCACTGGCTGAGATATGTATGTGTAGGAAAAATATAGTATATGTTTATAGTTTGGGTTTAGCAGTGGTTTCAGGCATCCACTGTTGTTTGTGGGATGTGTCTTTCATCAATGAGGAGAGAGGAGTAGTATAAAATCAAGTGATCTTTGACAAAGGAGCGAAGATAATACAGTAGATCAGTGATTGTCTTTCAAAAATGGTGCTGGAAAAATGACATTCACATGCAAAAAATGAATCTAGATAGAGATGTTAAATCTTCAAATAACTCATTCAAACTGGATCACAATCTTAAAGGTAAAATACAAAATTATAAAACTACTACAAGTTAACATAGGAGAAAAATCTGTATGACCTCAG